ATATGTAAAAAGTCATTTATATCTTGTATTTTTAGTAATTTGTCTTTTTCCTTTTATTAAGCTTCTTAGAGGAAAGCACATTTGTAAAGATTTGCATATAGTCTTGACATTTTCCTATTTTCTGTGCACTTTCAGTGCACACAGCCTTTCTATTTATGTCGTGTCCTTGTTTGAGTTTAGCACGTGGTGACCTTCTGAAAGGCTCCTTGAGTGCCTAGCTGACTTCTGTCGTGATTCTCGGGACATTAAGGTCGTCACCCATCCTCTCTGCCAGCCTTGCTGTCTCTGTACACCGTGCTATGTAGTGATGAATTCTTGTGTCATCCGTAACCGTGGTTTTGCTTTCTCTGTGGACCTAAGAAAGAATTGGTAGATGTGGTTTTACGTTTCTTCCTGACTGACCTTCTGTGGGCAGACACATCAGGTAAAACAGCGAAAAGGACAATTGTCAGTAACATAGTGTCATTGCCAGTGGGAGGACTGGTCCCTCTGGACGCCTCCCATGATTGCAGAGAGCAAAGCTGCTTCTCAGCCCCACGCCTTGATGCCAAGCCTTGGACTTTTTTTTTTTAATCATTTTATTAGGGGCTCATAGAACTCTTATCACAATCCATACATACATCAATTGTGTAAAGCGCATTTGTATTCATTGCCCTCATCATTTTCAAAACATTTCCTCTCCACTTAAGCCCCCAGCATTAGGTCCTCATTTTCCCCTCCCTCCACACTCCCCCCTCCCTCATGAGCCCTTGATAATTCATAAATTATTATTTTGTCATATCTTGCCCTGTCCAACGTCTCCCTTCACCCACTTTTCGGTTGTCCGTCCCCCAGGGAGGAGGTCACATATAGTTCCTTGTAATCGGTTCCCTCTTTCCTACCCACTCTTCCTCTACTCTCCCAGTATCGCCACTCACACCACTGGTCCTGTAGGGATCATCCTCCATGGATTCCCTGTATTTCCAGTTCCTATCTGTACCTGTGTACATCCTCTGCTTGCAAGGTAGAATTCAAGTCATGATAGTGGGAGTGGGGAGGAAACATTTAGGAACTAGAGAAAAGTTGTATTTTTTATCTTTGCTACGTCGCACCCTGACTGACTCGTCTCCTCCCCGAGACCCCTCTGTAAGGGGATCTCCAGTGGCCTACTAATGGGCTTTGGGTCTCTACTCCGCACTGCCCCCATCATTCACTCTGGTAAGATTTTTTTGTTCTGATGATGCCTTTTATATCTGATCCCTTTGACACCTTGCATAGGCTGGTGTGCTTCTTCCATGTGGGCTTTGTTGCTTCTGAGCTTGATGGCCGCTTGATTACCTTCAAGCCTTTAAGACCCCAGACGCTATACTTTTTGATAGCCAGGCACCATCAGCTTTCTTCGCCACATTTGCTTATGCACCCATTTGTCTTCAGTGATCCGTTCAACACCTCGTGATCACATAGGCTGATATGTTCTTCCATGTGGGCTTTGTTGCTTCTGAGCTAGATGGCCGCTTGTTTACCTTCAAGCTCTTAAGATCCCAGATGCTATATCTTTTGATAGCCAGGCACCATCAGCTTTCTTCACCACATTTGCTTATTCACCTGCTTTGTCTTCAGCGGTTGGGACTTTTTTTTTTTTTTTAAGGGAAGAATGAAATGGAAATTCTGTAGAAAACCTCTAGATTTTTCAATGTTGTTTCACATTTTTATTAGCATGTGCAATTGAAAGCAACTACAACTTGAAGCTGGCTATGGTGTGGACAGCCTTTTTTGGAACTGTGGTCTGGAGCTAACATACCTAAGGAGACGCTGTCCTGAGAGGGGCAATCCGTTGTCTCAAATGCACAGTCGTTCATGTTTTCATGTCTTATGCTGCACTCTTTGCCCCATCTTGGAAGGTTCTGAGATGAGAGTACAAGCTCAGTGTATGTGGAAAGAAGAGCTTTAAAGAAACCTCACTGCTACTGAGTAGATTCAGACTCATAGCAACAGACTCGGTCCTATAGGACCGAGGAGAGCTGCCCCTGTGGATTTCTGAGGCTGTACATCTTTAGATGAGTAGAAAGCCTCATTTTCCTCCCAAGGGGCATCTGGTGATTTTGAACTGCTGGCCTTTCAGATCACAGCCCCAAAGTATGACCCACTAAGCCAGCAGGGCATATCTTAAGAAAACAAAGTTCAGTTAAGAGTTCACCCATAACCAAAAGAAAATCTCTGAAGTAGGTCATCCCATTGGTGTTTGTTTTGTTTTGTTTTATTTTTCCCTCCTTGAGTTCTTGAGTCAAAGTTATATGCAATATCAGCCTGCCGGTGCTGGCAATGGGATACGAGACAATGCTCCAAGGATCCTGAGACTACACGTTACAGGGAGGATTGTGAACCAGGAGTCAGAAAAACCTAGATTTTCTTGCCACACCCTACACTTATGAACACTGTGAACCTTGGAGAAAATAATATTTCGTATCCCCTTTATTCCTCTCATAAAATGGAGATTACGGTGCTTTAGAGGTTATTGTGACTACCAAATTAGATGATGTGCGCTTAACTATGTAATGTTACATAGGTCCCAATTATCAGTGGAAGGCAGGGCAATGTCATTTGTGGCTAACAATTGTACTACGTCATTCTTTAGCCTAATTACAGTATAACAACCTCCGTTAAAATTGAATAGTATTATAAAAGTGTGCCATGAAATTGAAAACTTGCATCCTTGCCTTTTAGTATGCCTGAGCTTAAAACAGTTATTCGTAAGCTGTTTTTTTATTAAAGGATTCAGTGCTCTAAATACAGAACAGTTCTATTAGAAGTAAAGGTAGACCTGTTCTCTTCCTTGAATACCTAAGTATTTCTATTTGATTAGGAGGTGAAAGGTGCTAGGGGATTAGTAATTTAGAGCATCGTGGGCTAATTGATGTTTGGTTTGATAATTGAAGAGTTTGTTTTAATTATACATAAACTAATTATATCAATCTGTTACTTTTTGAAATGCATTAACTCTTACTTTGAATAATTTTTTCATTGAAGCCCAGGATGTCTATGGACTCAGACTTTTAATATGAATCCTGATAAATCTTATCAGTAGCTCTTTAAAAAAAATGTCAAACCAAAAAATTTGATCACTTCCTTTGCTATAAGAGGATTTCCTTGGTAGTGCAAATGGATAAGTATTTGACTACTAGCCCAAAGGTTAGTGGTTTGAGCCCACCCAGAGGTGCCTCACAAGACCGGCCTGGTGATCTGCTTCTGTACGCTTACAGCTCTGAAAACTACACTGGCAGGTCTCCTCGCTGTCCACAGGGTTGACATGAGTCAGAATTAATTAAAAGGGACCTAAAATAGCAATGCTGCCCAGAAGAGAGAGAAAGTTCATCCAAAAGCAGACATTCCTTTTTCCTTGGTTTTGATTGTTTTTAGTGTATATTTTCAGTGAAGATTACTACATCATCTTGTTTTCTTGTAATATAGTATGGATCAAGGGATATATTACCATAGAAGAACAAAATGAGAGAATTTAAACATTTGCCCAATTATTTTGGGCATTTGCCCAATTATATGGATCCAGTTTATTTATTATAAGTGAATCATATTATGCTTCATAATATAATTCTATGAATTCATTTATATATTATAAATCATATGTTATTACAAACAATGTTATCTACTGGGCACCTGTGGGCTAGGTACCATGCTTAGCTTTTTACAAACATTTTCTCATAATTCTCATAACCTTGGAGGCTGGTGGTAGTAGCATGCCCATTTTTAACCCATAAGGAAACTGAAAATTATGCTAAGGAATTTGACCAGGACACATATTAAGTGATTGAACTGGCATCAAACCTGCTCCCTTATTGTGCCTCGACTCAAGTACTCCCTTAACACAAGAATACTTTGTTCTAGCAATCCGACATTCTATGATGCTCACCTTCCTGACACAATCACTGAAGACAAAATGGGTGCATAAGCAATTGTGGTAAATAAAGCTGATGGTGCCTGGCTATCAAAAGATACAGTGTCTGGGGTCTTAAAGGCTAGAAGATAAACAAGCAGCCATCTAGCTGAGAAGCAACAAAGCCCACATGGAAGAAGCACACTGGGGGGTGTGATCGTGAGGTGTCAATGGGATCAGGTATCAGGCATTTAAGACCCAGAACAAAACCATACCCAAGGTGAATGAAGTGGAGACCCAAGGCCCATCTGTAGACAATTGGACATCCCCTCACAGTGGGGTTATGGGGAAGAGATGAGCCAGTCAGGGTGCAGTATAGCACCAACAAAACACACAATTTTTCTCTAGTTCTTTGGTGCTTCCTTCACCCCACGATCATGACCTCAATTCTACCTTACAGAGCAGAGCATGCACACTGCTACAGATAAGAACCCACAACACAGGGAATCCAGGATTCCCTCAGGGCCAACAATGAGAATAGAAATACCAGGAGGATTAGGGGAAGGTGGGGGCATGGGGGTTGGGAAGAATGGGAGAATCAATAACAAGGATCAATCCAGAACCCCTTCCCTGGGGGACGAATAATGGAAAAATGGGTTAGGGGCGATGGAGGACGTTGATAGATATGGAAATTATATAACTTATCAAGGGCTTGGGAGGGGGGAGGGAGAAGAAATGGAGAGCTGATATCGGGCTTAAGTGGGAAGAGAATGCTTTGAAAATGATGAGGGCGGCATATGTGCAAATGTGCTTGACACAATGGATGAATATATGGATTGTGGTAAGAGATCTAAGAGCCCCCAATAAAAGTATTTTTTTAAAAACCTGGTCCCTAGTGATAATAATTTATATGGTGCTTCATTACTATGCTTCATTACTATGCTAATTTGCCTTGTTGACATGGTGTTAATTCGTAGAACACTAGCACATTCACAATGAAGCATATGCACCAATATTGGAAGTGATCTGTTGATTGTCTATTCATGAATGTGATCTGAGACCCTTTACGTTTGCCCCTGACCAACCTAGATACTTTAATTGACTATAACTAAAAGAAACATTTCCTTTTAAGATGGATCCTGGAATGCTGAACCTCAGAAAGTGATTCAATTAGGGATCCTTCCAGTTAGAAGCCTACTGCTGATGGAGGATTCACTCTGGGCAGCTTCTGGGGGACAAGTTTTCATCATCAGTATCGAGACCCTTTCCATAGAGGTAAGCTATTTTAAGTGACAACACAGTGTGGGAAAGTTGCCTTATCAAAAATTCTTCCAATTCATTTCCAGCGCTGAAAGTCAAAGTCAGATCTGCGACTCTGCGTTCTTGAGAACTCAGGCAGCCTCTTGCTTGTAGCCATGTGCTGAAATCAAACGTCTACATTTTGTTTAGAAAGAAAGATTCACTAGAACATTCAAGTAACCATTTTCTAATCATGCATCCATGGGAATTTTTGTTCAATGTTTACCTGTGAACAGAAAATTTAAAATACATATTCATGCACATATGTGAACACATGGACGTCTCTATAACTGTGTGTGCATCCCGGTATGTGGAATGTTGTTGTTAGGTGCCATCTAGTTGGTTCCAACCCATAGCAACCCTGTGTGCAACAGAATGAAACATTGCCGGTCCTGCGCCATCCTCACAGTTGTTCCTGTGCTTGAGCCCATTCTTGAAGCCACTGTGCTAGTCCATCTCTTGATGTGCTTCCTCTTTTTTTGCTGTCCCTCCATTTTACCAAGCATGCGGTCCTTCTGCTGGGACTGGTCTCTCTTGACAGTATAGCCAAAGTATGTAGGACCAGGGGTCCATCCTCCGGCATTATCTCTGATAATGTTCTGTTCCCATTCATTAGGCTTTCAGTGTCTGGCAGTGTTTCGAAGCTACACTTCAGGTTTTCAGCAGCTTCTCCCTACAAACTGGGTAGCTGAGTCCCTCTGTCTGTTCTCAGGCTGGAAGCTCCACTGCAACCTGCTCACTTTGGGGGTCCCTGCTGACATTTGAAACACCAGTGTCATAGCAGCGCACAAACCACCGCAGTACCGCAACCTGACAGATGAGTGGTGGACCTGGACTACAGGCATCAAATTCAAACAAGCATTTTAAATTGTAGGATATGGAATGACAATAGAGTAATACTAAGTGGACACTGGTGTAATCTTAGACTTGGGAGGAACTCAGGGTGTGTATCAGGATAGTGACAGCTCAGGAGATTAAGTTCTTGTTAGGATCACAAAGTTACACACGTGTGGACAAAGTTGCATATTGAATTATAGTCTCTTACCTGGAAGTCAAAAGCTCTTTCTATTGGACATCAGATAGTTTGTTGGTTTGGGGTTTTGTTTGTTTCTTTGTTTGTTGGTCTTTTACTTATTTTAGTAGCCTGCTCAGCCTCCCCATTGAAGAGCCTGCAGAGGACTGTCCACTGGACAGACACTGTCTATCTGGTCACATGTGACTCCTCACAATGAGGGGAATTAACTGTCATTTTCAAAACTTCAGAGTTTAAGATAAAAGTATTTTAAATTACTTTTGCCCAATATTTTTTGTAGTAAGGTTTTGGTTCTACTTTTATCCATCTGATACTTATTGTTTTATGCACCCTTAGAGAAAGAAATGTTCAATCATGCCTTGGGCAAAGTGTTAATAAATTTAATAAATGACAGCATTATGCAGAATATTTTTTATCAATGCTGTAAATAACTTCTGATGTTTTCTTTTCCTTTCCATACCATCAAGAACAGCATCTTCCTAATTATGTATTTAGAAGGCAAGGTTCAAATCCTTACCCAGCTAGTTACTACAGAATGATCATGGGTAAACCAATGAACTGAGCCTCAATTATTTGACTTAGAAACTTAGAATCAGTCTTATCTCTCAGGTTATTTTGTAGGTAAAATACTAAAGAAATTTATGTAACAAAGAGCACTTCAATTGAGATTGTTATATATCAATGGAATGAATTATGAATAAAATAACAATATCCAGGACATCACTTTTTAATTTATAAGGTAATACATTTGCTTTCTTCACAGAGGGGGAATAATCATATAACAGCCTTTCTTTAAAACATTTCTCCAAGAACAATACATTATTTTTGTCATAAATTAATATCCAAACTCTAATTTGATTTATATATATATACATATATATATACATATATATATATATGTGATTCAGGACTAACAAAATTTTCCCAAAGTGTGACATTATTATAATCAAAATGTTATATCCACATGTCCTAAATAATTTATATCCTGGAATTCTTGAAGACCCAGAGAAAATTCTTATGTTTGGAACCAAATGTACCGTAAGTCCCCTTCCTCCGTATTTTCAGTACAGCGTAAATACATTTATATAGAGTACAGTGAACCCTTGCCACTTCGCGCTTCGACTTCCGCGGCTTCACTCTATCGCGGTTTTTGCATAACAGCGCATGCTCTGTCATTACTGCCACTGATTGGCTCATACTGTACACGCTTCTGTCTGCTTCACTACGTATCGGAGCTACATATCAGATGCATT